AACGTCTATATGCTGAAAAACAAAATAAACAGCACTTCTGCAGTGTTGTCACCAGTGTATTATGATGTTTCCTGACATAAGTGCATGACACTTACAGGTGAACATCTTGGAGAAAGGGACTATGTTTTATTGAATGAATATAAAACACCCATCATATTGTGGCTGTTACAATTAACAAATATAAGATGGCCTTGCAGAGTGTAAGGATTCACAAAATTATAGACATGTATTTTTGAAAAAATTGTATTTAAAGAGTAAAAACCATCTGGTGACATTGACGGACATTTGTCTCTGTCATTCCTGAAAAAAACAAAAACATTGCTTATGAAAAGTATAAAAATATTCCAGAATGTTGGTTTTATTAATGAAAGGATGCACAAATATTTTACTCTGATGGTGTAAGGGAGCCTTGCATTTCAGCAGGTGCCCAAGTAACTAAATCAGAATAAACCACCACACTCCATCCATCCTATTGTTCTCTTCATCTGTACAAAGGAAACCTGCAACCCAAACAGACCCAGCATCCTCACCACGTGCATTATTGGGATTTTCATTGTGCTGGCAAGATGGGGGGGTTAGAGCATGGCTCTGTTCTCCCTGCTGTCATCTGCACAACCCATCACCACTTGTGCTGGCATTTTGTACCCACGTGTGCTATTTGATGCGGAGAAAGGAATAAGAGAGGGAAAATGCTCTCCCCATGTTTGCTCTCACTACCTTTTCCAGTACCACATAGCCTAACTTTTGTTGTTCTAGGCTTGGGAAACAAAGCAAAAGCACTGTTCTCATGAAGGAGGACCCTGTGTGGAGCATGAACTAGTCAGTTAGAAAGAAAAGGATTGGGCCCTCAAAGTAAACTAATAAAAATGAACTTAGTCTTTTGTCATTCTCCTCTCTCAGGCTGCTTGAAAATAATCATAGATTAGAATTATAGAATATTTTGTGTTAGAAGAGACCTTTAAAGGTCATCTACTCCAACCCTTTGCAATGAGCAGAAATATCTTTAACTACATCAGGTTATATATATTCTCTTGAGGTGATTTGGGGATTCAGTACACAGCAGTTTTGGGCCCTTGGTCTGTCACTTAGATGAGGTCAACTGCACAAAGCATCTCCCTTTCCTATCCATTATTATCTTGTGCTTATTGCAAAACCAAATTTTATTTATTGAAATCAACATGAAGAAGACAGATCAGAGACTAAAACTCTGTCATGAATAAAGCAGTAATGGAATAGAGCTGGATGAGAGAAAAGCCTTAAAGAAGGGATTGAGTGCCTGAATCTTCCCTTGTTTCTTTTCTCCCCCTCCCCCCCCCCTTTTTATTACCTGGGTCTGTGAAAGTTTTTGAGATACAAATCTTTACAACACAGCCACAATGGGTGTCAGGCTGTCTGTATCTCACAAAGGTCTTTATTATAATTTGTTAGATTTACTTAAGGGTGAAGGACCAATCTATCAGTTGCAATATAAATTATAATTCTCCCTTTGCCTAAATCTGGTCCTACCTCTGTTTCCAGACCTCTGTGGCTGTAAGAGCACAACCATCACCATTTACAGTCATCTCCAAAGTAGTACCTTATGGCAACAGATGAAGTCAGATCAGACCACGTACTCACTTCCCTATGGGAAGAAACAGCTGTCCTAAAAAGAGTCTTCTTAACACTCACAGGCTCATTTCACTCAGAGTGGTACTCAGAGCACAAAATTGTTGAGGCAATCAGCTGGATGGTCCCACCAGTTATCTCACTGTCTCCCTGCTCTCCTTTTCCATTTTCTGGCTTTTCTGAAGGATGAATGCCATGGATAACATGTCCGGGTGCAAGGGCCACAGCTTTCCCTTCTTTAGGCACACTGTTGCATGGCAAAAATAAATTTGTGGGCAGATTTCTTTGTTGTTCCTGCATGTGGGGCTCTTAATTTGATGAGCTGAGGGGGTCTTATGTGTCCTGGCACCAGAACTCAGTCTGTAAAGATTTCCAAAGTCAGCAAAAACTGCTGAGAGTAATAGGGATCTCCAAGCTGGGTCACTAGACTCACGAAAAACATTATTTCCACTCTGTTTTTTCCACTTTGAGACATTATTTCTGCTTCTACTGCTGGAATCTTAGCATCCCACCTGTCAAGTACTCTGTTATGACAAGATTGGCTCAACAATTAAGCAAGGATTGACTTTTGCAGCAACACCTACAGTGGCATTGTGTTGACAGGAAAAAAAGCTGGCTGTTACCACTGCTGTTTAGTTCACCTTAAAACATATCTTGTGGTCTTCATGTTAAGCTGCTTTGCAAAATCACTCTAACACATGATCAGAAGGAAGGAAGGAATACTCTGAAGCTTGTTCTTGACAAGAAACCTAATCCTTCATCTTCCTGTGTGGCTGCCCTTCTCCTTTCTCCTCTCTTTCCAGCAGCCCTCTATGCCTTTGTCTGTTTACCAGTGGTGCAAAGGCCAAGACTTCATCCATCTCCTCTCCAAGGTAGTGTTTGTGGTAGGAAATTCATGCCTTCAAAAATGCACACAGCTTGTGACAGACATATCTTCATCTAGAAAGCACCACACTGCTCTCTGTTGCTGTGTCAATGAATAATTAATAGAGTGAAATAATTATATGCAATAGATTTTACCTTCTTGTAATTTGCTACTTGTTCCCCATGTTTCTGGAAAGCAAATGACCTAGACTTGCTGAGTTCTTTTACTTTTAACCCATACCTGGCTTACCTGGAATTGCTTTGGTTTAAATCCTGTTTCTTGGGCATGATATTTTAAAATATTTCAGACTGCAAGCAACTTTCTACTAAATAGTAATAAGAAGTGTTCCAGTAAATTCTGGTTAGGGTAGGAGCAGCTGCAGGGTAACAGGTTTTTGGATTAAAGGAACAATTATTTATCTGGCATAAAGGGTGCACATACTGGCTTAACCTGGCAAGGAGATGAACTTTAATATGACACTGATTTCAGTACAGTCTCACTCGTTATAAAATCTAGAGACTCATTGAAGTAAATAAATATGTAGACAGTGCTACTGTTTTCTTGACACGTATATATATATACACGTGTGTATGTGCATTGTGTGGCAGATGCCAAACAAACAGATCTACTCAGTGTTAACGCTCTTCACAAATGTACCTGACAGACCAGAAGTTGGAAAACGTTGCTTGAAAATATTTACAGGTTTCTGGAAAGAAAAAAAAAGAAAATCTACCAAAGAAAACCCAAACACACCAAAACAACACAGACCCAAAATTATTTCAGGCGTGTGGCGCCAGATTTCTGTGTTTGAGCACACGAGCTCATTAATTGTAGCTTTGAGCGGTGTAAAAATGTGCATCAGTGCCCTTGATGTGCCTATATTTTGGTGATGCATGAATTGTCTCTATATCTTGTCTAAGAAGTGGACACTAATATCTGCCCTGGAACATAATTAGAAGTCATAAAATACCCTGCTGTACTGAGTCAGGATCTCACCCATCTGGGATTGATACCAAGAGATGTTCTTTTCTGGTGTTGCTGTCAGCACAAATGTTTAAATATACCTTCAAGAGCTGAAATATTTGGAAAGAAATTCTGTTTGCCTTATGTAAGCAAGCAATAGTCTGCATTTAATGAAGGTTCATCCTTCAGTCTGTCTCTGTGAGGAGTGGAACAGAGTCACCTTAATTTTAAGAGGGCTACGTGTGTAAGTTGATAAAGAAAAAGGTATAGGATCTTGCCTAAAGGGACCTTTTAATTGTTATTCTATTCTATTCTATTCTATTCTGTTCTCATTATAGAATTCATATTAGAAGATAAATTTTTTAAGCATAACAAAGTGAGCTTTTGTAGTTAAAAAAGATTAAGGTGTTCACAGGAAAAAAAGAGACTATCAAGGTATTTTAAAAGATACAGTATGCTTCCTTTAAGCATGAGTGATGAGCACAGATTAATTCTGCTCTAAAAAGGTCTTCACATCATCATCCTCACGTAAACCATCTGAACTCCTTCTAGTAGTGCATTGAATTATATGATATTTTGTATCACTGTCATATGCAGCTCATTCTTTTTCTCATCTTTCCCCCAGGGAATAATAGTGCATGCAGTGGTAAGGTTTATTTCTTCCACAGAATTTTTTTGTTGTAGTCAGGTTGGAGAAGGCAGGTCAAAGAAAAGTGTTTTGTGCTTGGTGATGAAATGTGTGTTAGTCCTTAAGATTATTTATTTTTTTTCCCTGAGAGTTTGTTCTACTCTCTTGGAACAGTTGAAGAGAAAGTTTTCTCTCTTTCTCTCTCTCATACTGACTTTAAGTTAAAAGCTCAGTTTTGCCTGAGGAGTTATTGATCACAGTCTTGACTGAAAGATTTGGTGATCATTCAGCAGTTTTAGACCCAGGCCAAGTAATTGCCACTCTCAAGAAACAAACAATTGCAGAGCTAACCTGAGATAAACTGGTGTAGCTCAATAGATTTCAATCGTTAATATCAGCTGAGGATTTGACCTAACTTTGGAAGGAATTTATGAGTTCAAAGGTGTGGAAAGCTGCTCTTGCTGCAAATCACTGCACACCCATAATGTTCTTACATCTTTGCAATCCTAAATACTGTTATGAGAGATAAATTTAACATTTCTCATTAGAATCAATGCCCTAATATTTTCACGAACTGTGTTTTTTAAAAATTGTGAGTGAGGGTTCAATCTTTTTTTTTAAAATCATACTAGATTGGAGATACCTTAGTGATAATCAGGGATTTTTTTCAAAGCATGAAATCAAATGACATCAAATAACCATAACAAGTTGTTTTGACTGTAAAGCTTATTAGATCTAATAATTCACTGTTCCCACACTGAAATTCCAACACATTAATTTTTCTCAAAACAATAATATTACAGAAAACCAAACCACACATGCCCTGAGAAAAACCAAACAGAGCCGGCCACAAGAGAACCACAGAATTGTTCTTCATGGCTGAGTTTTGTCAAAACACATAAGAGGTTTCCCTCATTTTAATATTTCCTTTTCTTGAAGGTGGCACCTGTGTTGTCAACCCCACTGACCTGTTCTGCTCCGTTCCTGGTCGCTTGTCCCTGCTCAGCTCCACTTCCAAGTACAAAGTGACCATCGCAGAGGTGAAGAGGCGCCTTTCACCACCAGAATGCCTCAACGCCTCCCTCCTCGGAGGTATTTTGAGAAGGTAAGTTGAAGGTGAGGATAACAACTCCTAGACAATGCTGTACTTGCTGTAACTTTTTTTATTTTCAACAGATAGGTTTTGTTCTTTTCCCCTACTTGGATAATGGTTGCACTTGAGGTGAACAGAAGGGGAAGGATCAGGAGGGAACACTGGGGAATTTTCAGTAAATTAGCAAGTTTACATTTTTCGTCAAACTGATTTTTTTTTACCTCCTCTGTTCAGTTACTCATCAGACATGGATAGATGTTGCTTTGACTTGTTTTGAGCAAAAAAAAAAAAAGGGAAATTCAATGTGTGGAATTCACCAGACATACAAATCTAAATTCTTGCTGAGAAACAATCTCAAAGCAAGTAATTTTACTATAGTTACAGCCCTCCCTCAACAAAAAAACCCCCCAAACACTGAGGTGTAGGGATGTTTTTTTTCTTCCTTTCTCTGCATGTTTTTTTGAGCACAAAAAAAACCCAGAATAAGCTAGTTGTTTTTTTTTTTTACTTTTCTCGTTGTGAGATATTAGGGGAGAAGGTAATATTTAGGTAAAGTTTTACCTCTGACCCTTCACTGACCAGAGCAGACACCAGCAGAGAGCAGGAGCAGAAAGAAGGAAAAGGGCAGACTGTGCCTCACATTGCAAGAGGAAAACCAGGAGGCAACTGTTATCCAGCCAGGCAAATCTAAGTCACGGTGGCCCTGAGGCGTCAGCTCAGATGGCATCAGCTGCTCCAACACCCTTTGATCAAAACTAGCTGGAAAGTCATCGGCTATTTCACTGCTGGCACTGAGGGCCACACTGATCCTCCTGCTCATACTGAAAGTCATTTTAACCAGCCTGAGACATGCAGGCACTCCAGAGCTCTCTTGACACATCTTGGAGAATAATGACTATAGACCATAAATTGTTTTCAAGGCATAAGTCCCATTCAACTGCCTCTCTGGGTATTGGAATACAAAATCTACATTCACCAAAATTTTCCCCTCCATTTGTTTCATCCTGGAGAAACCTTCAGCTAATTTTCATTTAAATACTCCTGCTGCAGATTTCATCAATACAGTGCAAACTATTATGGATTCAAGGGCATTGACTTGAACGTGGGGGCTCACTTCACTCCTCTGTTAGTATGCTTGAATGATCCCCACAGGTTTTTGACCCAGACTAAATATCTCCTCTCCCAAATTAACCCTGGGCATGGAGCTTGCAAAAGCCAGGGACTCCTCCCTGTCTGCAGTTTAGATGTGCTAATTCAGTTTTATGAATCAGAGAGAGCAATGGAAGATATTTGGTCAGGTTGTAACAGAGTTTCACAGCTAGGAAACAGGCTCAAGCCCTCTGTATTTGATGAGGAAAGATGTAGGAAAACAAAATCTCACTGATTGTTTGCCTGAGACCTTGAATACTTGTTTTTTCATCCTGTCAGCAGTCACTGGTTACCTATTTTCCCAAATAGCTTGCTTTGGGAATCAAGTGTTCTTCTGAATAAAGAAAAAATTATTTTCAGAAGATATTTCCTGAACAAACAATGTGGCCAAAGTTGTGGTACTTTTTAATGCATAAAACAATCATCCAAACAGTGATACTCCATGTTTGGTTTCCTCATTGCCTGAAGGAACTTGAACACGAACCTGAAAATATTAAGTTAATTATTTTTGCTACTTTTTCTAAGCTGAGGGCCCCTCAATCTCATTTGGGGTTAGTTATGTATGTCTTGTATGAAAAACAAAGGTGTATTCAGGCCATTCATTTGGGAAGGGAGATATCCAGGTTCCAGGCACTGTTTTATCCATTGTTTAAGTATTTTAACATTAATTATTTGCTGTCAGCTGACTGCTGCATCTGTTTGAAAGATACAGGTTAAAATTCCCTCAGGCTGAGGAAGAATTTGAACCTACAATTGCTGCATAGGTGGATTTGTGTGAAATGCCTCAAACACTGAGATGCCACAGAAAGCAGCTGGGACACACCAGGACCCATTTTGTGAGAACAGTGGGATGGAGGTGTTTGGCATAGGAGCACAGATAAACAGTGATGGTTGAGATTTTAGCTTCAGCATTTCCTATTGCCTTGGCTTCTTACTTGTGAGTTTTGGGCTTTGTAGACAACATTTCTAAATACCCAGGTCTCTACATAAATTATAGAGAGATAGTTAGAGCTGGTTTCCACATAGGCATCTACATTTAAGTGGATTTCTGGCTTCCTTTAATAGCCACACAAGCCAGATGAGTAAAGTTCACTCATTGTGGATATCTGTTTAATCTAATTCTAGAAGGTCATGTTTGTCTCTAATTTGTCTTTGGAGCTTGGCTTGGCTAAATCAGGTATAAGTGTTTTCACTGTCAATATTTACATTCAGTCACTGTAACCCCTGCTGTCATGCCCAAATCAGTTAACTGGGCTCCACTACGTGGAAACTGCCTGAAGATCTGATGCCCCCGTGACAGACATTAAAACCTCTAACTCTGCCAAAAAGCTGATGTTAAAGAATCACCTAGATTAAAGAATCACCTAGAGCAGGCAGGAAATTAAGAATACAGCTCTGAAATATTTCCTGTGGATGTCATTGCTGCAGGCATTACCCCATGTATTTGTCAATGAAGTATGCACAATTTCTAGGCTTATATTAACATGGGGAAAAGGTGCAGAATAATGACAAATATCTCTCTTTCCTGCTGTTCTCTCATGACAGAGCAAAATCCAAGAACGGAGGACGCTGCTTGCGAGAAAAATTAGACAGACTTGGACTAAATTTGCCTGCAGGAAGAAGAAAAGCAGCAAATGTCACACTCCTGACTTCCCTGGTAGAAGGTAAGGTCTCTAATATTGGAATATAATATAACCATAATTAAAATGTTTCATGGCATGCAACCCTTCTCAGCCATAGGGTTAAATTCCATAATCTGTGTTTTGTATAAAGAGACCTGACTTGCCTAAAGCCACAGAAAGAGTGAGTGGCAGAATGGAAGTTTACTCTGAGATATCTTGGCTCCCAGCAAATGTCTTGGTCCTGCAGTTTCCTCAGCATTGATTTATGCTTACAAATCGATGTTCTGAGTGCTCTTGTAAGAGAGATGAATGTCTTATACTAACTCTGTAAGTAGGTTTGTTTATCCTCCTTTTTTTTTTAACTTATGAATTTCCTGGAGCTGGTCCAAAAATGTGATGATTTTTTTTTTTGTCTCCCATAAGAAAGCATAATATTTAGACAAGCCTTTTCCCCACACACATAAATGAATGAAATCTCTTTTCAGATAATATCTCGACAGGCTCAGGAGATACTTTCTTGGCCTTTATTTGTTGTTTAAATATCATTCACCAAATACTGCCGGGTTCTTCAAACCTTCAGCTGGGAGATGCAGGTTCAAACCCCTCAGGCAAAGGGAAGAAACTCTACCTGCATCTCTTCTGTTCTGGGTGAATCCAATAAGTACCCAGTTTGTTGTTTGGCTGTGAGTTGCAGCTCTGGGAATTTCAGATCCCTCCTCCTTGATGCTGAGAGAACTCAGCTGATCCTAAAGGTCAATACCTTCTACAATCATAGCCTGAAAGGGCCATACAGATCTAGGCAAGTAGGCTGAGGTCTCAGCACGTATTACCACAGAATTATAGAAGGATTGAGGCTGGAAGGCTCCTCTGGTGATCTCCCAGGCCAATCCTCCTGCCCCAAGCAGGGTCAATGAAAAGAGCTTGCTCAGGATTTTGTGAGTTTTTTATTATCCCAAAGGATGGAGATCCTTCAAGGCAGAAATAACTTTGCATCCTTGACACTGGAGGTTTTCAGCATCTATGACAAGGGACTGAGATTTCCAGGGGTCACTGAGCACAGGGAAGTTCAGTGGGGCTGCCCTGAAATACAGGTGTGTCCATATCACACCTGCTTGCAAGAGAAAGCTCTCAAGGAATTACAGTCTTAGAAAAGGTACCAAGTTAGAGGAGCAAGGGCTGCTCCCACCTTCAGGCATCTCGGGTCAGGGCAGATTAATCTCAGCTGGGTTTCATTAGTAAACAGAGCAATGGCTTTAAGCTGAAATCAGGAAGAAATTCTTCCCTGTGTGGGCGCTGAGGCCGGGGCACAGATTGCTCAGAGAAGATGTGGCTGCCCCTGGATCCCTGGAAGTGTCCAAGGCCAGGCTGGACAGGGCTTGGAGCAATCTGAGATGGTGGAAGCTGTCCCTGCCCATGGCAGGGTGTGGAGCTAGGTCATCTCTAAGGTTTCTTCCAGCCCAGACCATTCCATGGCTCTGGGATTCTATGTGACTAGTTATTCATTCTTCAGAAGAGGCTGAGAGGGAGGTACCTGTCTGACAACTGCTGGCCTGGGGCTGATGGCTGAGAACCTTTACTGTAAGTCAGGGTTGGATTCCTGCTTTCCAGGAATGGAGCTGTGCCCACCTCCCTGCCCTTTATTCAAAACCAGTAGCAAACCTGCTACCAAGCCTACGGTGTTGCTTTTGTTCTTGGACTGCCTTGCTGTGAGTCCTAAAGACAAATACTGATGATGTGCCTGAGCTCACTTTGGCAGAGATCTTTTTGCCTGGATACGCTAATTGTGAATTTTATCTCATGGAATTTTTGGGAATGGCACCACCATGTTAATGTTCCCACAGAAAACTAAGTGAAGCTCATTTCCTGCCTGTGTAACCAATTCTGGGTCAAACTTGGAGGTGCTCATTGAATTCTTGGAGGTATAAGCTGTTATTATTTTGGACATGCAGTTCCAGGTGGAACTGCACAATTTCTCCAAGGAAAACCATCCTTCAATGGTTCCTGCGGCTAGAGGAGGCAAAAATGTAAGGATACAGGCTTATCCTGTGTTTTAGAGGATCCAGAGAGAAGGCAACAGGAGCTTTTTCTGTTGATAGCAATACAGAAGTTGAAATAATAACAATAATTTCTTAGTTCTATTAAATCTCTAAAATATCAGATACATTCTGTGGACCTCTCATAAGAACCCAGGATTGTGTCATTCTTGACTTCTTTAGATGGTTCTAAATTAATTACTACTAAAGGTCCCCACAGTCTTCAATATATTGAGGTTTTAATATCCCTTTAAGGTAAAAGCATGCTCAACCTCTTGAAAATCTATGTGATATAGGATAAGGCAAAATTAGTTGTATTATTGTGTTTATTGACCAAAACCAAGTCAACAATCTCTGGCATGGCTCATACTTCTCTTCCTCTAAAAGATACTGAAATCATTGAGTTTTGGGGAGTCTGCTAAGCTCAAGGAGGAACTGAAATTTATTTCTAGGCTGTGTCTGTCACATGAAGGTCCAGATTTTACGAACATTACTCTGCAGCCTCCTGTTTTCTGCTCTGCTGCAGGATACTTACTGCTGGTTTGATCAGGTCGCATCTTTAGAGTCTTTGGTAGGGGCGTCTGCGGCCCAAAATAAGAATTGTTTGACAGATCGGTTCTGTTCTCTTTGTCATGCACATAAATCAGCACAACGAGCGGGAAGGCAGACAGGGAGGTGAAGTCAGTGTCGCAGGACTCTCCTGAGCAGTTTGGGGACACATCTTTGTGTAACCTGCAGGCGAGGGATGCCCTCTAGTGCCTGGACTAGATGGAGGGAAAGGTCATTTTTCTTACGAGTTCCAAAAGGAAAATTCTTACATATTAGCTGTAAAATAAAGGTTCCTCGGATAAATACTAGTATTTTCAAGGCTAAGCTTTACTGTGGGCTCAAAAGAGTCAAAAGCTTCTCCAGTGGGAGCTAGAAAGGATGTGAAAAGAGGGGATGTGTCCCCTTCTGTTTGAATGGGTCACTTACAAAGCATAAATGTGATTGCAGATGCAGGTTAAAGCAGTGCATGAATGATTTTTAAACCATCAGATAAAAAAAAAAAAAAAAAAAAAAGAAAAGAAAAGAAAAACTAATAAAAAATTCTAGAGTTTGTTTTTCTGTCAAACCTGATTAAGACACTAAATTTCCTAGACACACAATTAACGACATTCATCATTTGGGGACCAAAACTCTTGAGAAAAACAGGTCAGCGGTTTCTTTTTTCATCGTGCTCTCAACTATCACACTTCTCCCCCACCAGCCTTTGTTTAAATATCCTTCCACTTGTTCCTCCTCCCTTCTCACCCTACAAATAGAATAAACTTTCCTTCCACCTCCCGCCTGTCCCTCCTCCCCCTGAGTAACATTTCTGCTGGGTAGAGCATCCGGAGGAGGCACAGCCGAGGAGAGAGTGGGAGGCTCAGATGCCGAGTGTCCCTCTCCTGGGGACACGTCTCCTGCCTTGGCCCCACACAGGAGCAGCTCTCACTCCTGCTGGCCCCGGGGGACCCTCAGGCCGCTCCTTGCACCTGCCCACAGAACCCTTCCGAGGTGCTGCTCTCCCCACCGAGGCTTTCCAGAGCTGTCCCTGCCAATTCCGCTGCAGCGCTTGTCCTTTTCCATCGTGCAAGGTTCCCAGGTCAATTGTCACACTGCAGAGGAGGGGCAGCGCTGCCAGGAGATGCAGAGCTGGGTTTAAGGAGAGCCCAGGATTCCCAACATCTGCTCTTTATCTCGGCAGGAGGAAAGAGCTGGGGGTGTCACACACGGGGAAATTGGATTTCAGGTTGAATTTAGATTGAAACAAGGCAAGTAACTATAATAGTCAGGGGTTTTAGCTGTTTCTACCTTTATCATGATTCCTACCGTGAGGTAAATAACAACTAGGCAGAAGATGGGAAATCTAAGGTAAAAGAGAAAAGGTCAGTTCATCAACATTTCCAACATTTACACATTTTCTCCCAAAGTAAATGTTTGTCTGAATTATGCTGTAGAAAAAGAAAGAACATATTCTATGACATTTTGTATAAACTACTTTCCCCCACCAAGCAGACTTAATCCTACTGTACAAATCAAAGGGATATCCACAAAAAAAAAAAAAAAAAGTACATCACAGTACACTTCTAAATATCAAATCATCATTTGGTCCTGGTTTAAAATGACATCTTTGCTCAACAATGAGATAGGAGAAATTATTCTCTGCGGAGTGTTCTCAAGTCCACTTTTTTTTTTTTTAATTTAGAATTTGTAGTTAGAATTCAGGATGCCTGCTCTTTATAGTATATGCATGCTTATATGAATAAATATGCATAGCTCTAACATGCATTTTCAGTACATGTGAGTTTTCCATTTCCAGCAAAAAATATTTTCAATTTTAATTTAAATTATTTTAATTATTACTTCATTAAAAACAGTAATTACATTTGTATTTACATTTTTACCAATCTATATCTGTGAAGAGATAAGTAATTTTGTTTATTTTTGCTCAAATGGTTTTATATCACAGTCACAATCCCAGCTCGAGACAGGTTTTATACTTTTGAATAATTTTCTCAGATTATCAGAACAGTTTAGTATAATTTTCTCAACTCTAGCAAATAATATAAACCATCTTTGTAAATATAAATTTGAATGAGTATTCACATTTTCATTCCCTTTTTTCTAACAGTAAGAGGAAACATTCACATTTCAGACACTTAGTTGTTGATCATGTTAAATGAATGCCTACATTTTAGCACAAAAAGCTCTGTTCTCTTGAAGATACCGAGACTTTTTCCAATGGCTAAATGTTTAAATTCGTTGTTGTCTACATTCTTTGTATTGTTACTGGGACTGACTGGGACCATGATGAAGCTGTCCGGAGAATTGCAATTCCACCTGATGACAGCTTCAAAGGGTTTGCCTTTTCTTTCCATGCTGGAATGAAGATAAACCTATAAAGTATTTTAACAGAATTTAGTTGAAAAGAAAAACCTGGTGCTCTTCTGAAATAGATTTACTCTGTAAGTCTTTACTTAAAGAAGATTAAAAGCATATCTGAAATAGACGTTTTGAAACTACTCTACAGAAATGTAAAAGCTATGGCTTAAATTTGTACCCTTTCTCACCCATGAAGAAGCCTGGGATAGATATTTGAAATACAAAGCAATCAGTCAGCTCTATGCCTGTTCATTCTGATTGTTTGTTAACTTACCACTGAAATACATTTTGCTTTCACTGAAAATTATTTTACTTTTCTAGAAGCTGCAAACTAAGTGGAAATTGTTTCTCCTTTCAGCTCAGAGATACTGATTGCTTGTTAATTGCTTTTTAAGAATATGGAAAATCATGTTTTAAAAATAATCCAAAGAAAGCAGATGATTTTGACAATAATCTTCAATTTTTGCTGTAAAGTTGGTTACAGTTGCAGAGGTTGTAGCTGGCTGGTATCAGCAAACAGATTGCCTGGGAGTGGTGCATGGATTTTTTTCAGTACCTGAATAAATTGGGGCAGATAAACACACAGTAAAGCATTTTCTTGTGGAATCAAAAGGTGTTTTTCCATGAAAACTCCAGTGGGAGAAGGGGAGAAAATAATATCTCAAAAGAGGGAGAAGAGAGTTGAAGCAGAGGTCAGTGCATGCAGTTTCTTATTCCTCATATTGTCCCTGGCACAGGACCACTGTTTCCATGGAACTTCTCCTCTTCCTTGGCTTAACCAAGCCTTGCTGAGGATGGGATTCATCTCTCCACCTTCATTGCAGTTGCACCTTCTCATGTCAGATCATAGTAAATAGGGAGAAATCAGAACTTCTGGGTTTAATGATTTAATTTCATGATTAAATGAAATTAAATTAATAATTAAACATTTTATTATGTTGCTCAGAACAGCTGTGGAATTTCCATAGCTGGAAACATTCAAGACTGGGCTTGGAAAAGCCTTGAATAACCTCATCTAAGGCAATGCTGTCAGCAGAAGGTGATTTCCTGAGTTCTAATCTAGACTTTCCATAATTCCTCTGATTCCCTTTTGCCTTCTACACTAGTATAGGATGATACATGCTCCAAGTGTTACTTTGTCTCCATTGACTTCAAAGTATAAATCAGACATCAATATTGACATTTAATCTGAGGAATTCCACTGCAGATATCCTCAAAGCGAGGAGTTGCATGTCCTGTATCCCTCCTGACAGCATCAGACTTTTGAACTTCAAAGAGCCAGAGTCCAATGCCACTTGTCCTGATGGCAATCAAACACACAACTCTGAAAAAAAAAAAAAAAACCCAAAACAACAACAACAAAAAAAAAAAAAAAAAAAAAAAACACAACCCCTGAACTCCAAAACTGTTCTGGAGCACATCTCTGTTAGTCATTCATGCAGATGTGCTTCAACACACGCTTCTGGTAACTGACCTATTTCTTCTTTCTGCAATGAGATGAGAGCAAGTGTCATCTGGAAATGCCTATTTCCCACCAGGCAAAGACTGACTTAGGCACAGCTGTTCACAATCCAGGCAGCTGCTTTTGATCAGACAAATCCCACACTGAGGTTGTCAGAGTCACAGCGTGCAGGTCAGGGTGTTCAGTAAACCCTAAAATTAGATTCTGGATTCTCTAAGCTAGTGAAGAGGGTCCTGTTCTTCCAGAGGCATTTGGCAGTCAGCACGGAGTTGGGTTCTTGTGTTCAGTCTTTGCAGTGAAGTGGAGAGGTGCTCAGTGCAACTTCCTTCTTCATCATTTTCCCTTTTTGTTTTGCCTGGTCAGTTTTGTTTGCAATCCTTCTGGAAATAAAATTATTTCTTGAGTTCTCCCTTAGAGTCTGCTCTTCTCTGGTGTGGGGCACTTGTATAGTTGGCTTAACCTCTAAGCAATTGTACTGGAATGTGGGTTATCCCTGTGGGTCTTTCCTGGGGTAGAGGGCACTTCTTCCATTAGACACAGGCTGACTCAGTTCTTCAAAGTTGTTTATTCCTACTTTCTGCTCTTTTCCATACCTTGAATATTGATGATGAACAAGGCTTTCAAAACTGGGCAGCTGCCCAATACTCACTGGTGGCAAGACAGGGCCAAGTGTCTTGGCCAGTATTTTCTCCTGAGAGGGACATCCTTCCATCTGATGAGAGGAATATCCTTCCTATCTTCTGCCTGACACCAACTGATGGCTAAACATCAACAGGACAACTGGGCTGAAATGTGTAACTAACTTGAGAATGACTGTCTACAGAAGTGACTTGCTAATGTTTGGGATTTTTTTAAAGAGTGTAATATAAATTCTGTAACAATAATAACAATATAATGACGATGATGATGATAATAACCTTAAGAAATGACTGACCCATTTTGTTTGACCGCAGGGGAAGCACTACATTTGGCCAGAGATTTCGGCTACACCTGTGAAACAGAGTTCCCTGCCAAGGCAGTAGGAGAGCACATTGCCAGACAGCACATGGAACAGAAAGAGCAGACAGCGAGGAAAAAGATGATCCTAGCGACGAAGTAAGGAGGGAGGGGAAGCGAAAAAAGAAATCGGTCTGTCACTTCTCCATGTTGGATCTGTGGGCTGGGGGAGGGAGGAGTGGGAGTATGGAGCTGGGATTGTGGTGACTGCTATCACAACAGTGCTCACTGACTGGGGGGGAGCAATCCTCCTCGGAGATGCTGAAAGAGGGACCTTATTTACTGCAGTGGGGTTTTAGTGGCTGTGCTCCCATTGCCCATGGTTAAGGGGGCATGTACATCTTCCCAGATGCTTTAGTTTAGATGAGAGCAGAGGATACTATTACATGGTAAGATCTATGGGACAGAAACTGGCTTTGTCTCCTGTTTGTGTGTGAGCAGGAGATCTGAGCCTTTGCTGAAGTACTGGTTACTGATGGATAATTACTATTAGTCTGCTGAGGGAGAGCTGGTCTGCAGGAGGACAGATCCTCTCTGGATGCAAACTGTAAGAGCTCCCCTGAAGTCAAAGGCACTGGAACAATGTACAGCAGCAGGGGAGCTTTGCTAAAGACATTAAAGACACAAAGAGGCATCAGACTTCACTCTAAACAAGCCACTCGTCTCCCTGGAGCAGTAACGTCATGTTAGGATAACATTTCATCTAGGTTAATTAGCCTTGATGAGGGAAGAATTAGGCTTCATGAGCCATGGGAAACAGGAATAAATAGTCTGTGTGGAGTAGGGCAGACCTGCCCTAGGTGTGTGGTCTGACTGTGTGGGGTAACCTTGAACACGTTTGCAGTCTTGCTGTGCTCACTGCAGTGTCATATTTGAGGCTGAAGTAGAGCTGAGACCACAAATTCGAGCTCCCAAATAATCCCCTCCGTGCTGGAAGTACTTGAAAACCCTTCCAGGCTGTGATATATCCAACAGGGAAGATTTTCCCTTTACTAGGGGAAAGGGCTGACCAGCAACAGGATTGTCCTGTGTATCCCAATGTCCTTCTGCTTTGACAAGATTCCTGGCCTTGATGTCCCTCTTGTATCCAGAGCACTGTGCCCCAGTGACCCAGAGAAGAGATACACTCAAACACCTCATGCTTGTGAATCCCATGAATGTAGTGTGTGGTCCTTCCCTGGGGTGATAAAAGCATCACCATGTGGATCAGTGGGAATTTTCTGGATGTGATGAGAGACCTCATATACCACGTTCCTAATTCCCCTGTACATTAAAAGGAATAATGTAAGTGGAATATTATCTTATTCTTTACCTGTATCCACATTTAAGGGCTCCAGGGGTTTCAGAGGCATGAAAATATACCAGCTGGCCAGAGGAAATTCCTCTCTGCAAGTTGTGTCTCCCCATTGCTGTGCAGGCCATTAACATCCTGCCTCCTTGCTGAGGATTTGTCCCATTCACAGAACACAATTCAACCAAAAGGATTAAAATCTTCCCCATTTTCGCCTGGTTTTAGGGAGAAATCACAAAGCCATGGGTTATAATAATTGGTGGGTCACTTTTATGTCCTGTCCCCGAAGGCTGTGCCACTGAGGGCCATATAAGAGTCTCACTACCTTTTCTCACCACCCCATATCCACTTTCTCAGCCTCCTTCACTACTGAGATGAGGTACCATGAGCATGCACTGCCTCTAACCTCCATGAACTTCAGGCTTGTAGGCTGTTATCCAGCACTTTTTAGGAACAAAATTACTTTTTTTCCCTGTCCTATCAGTTAAAAGCACCAGGAAATTACTCAGGGAGGTCTGTCAATAATAGAAAGGCCACATCCTACTGCAGTCAGAGCTGGTAACAGGGACAGATGGGTCAGTGTGTGTGTTACTACTGCCCTCTCCTGCCTGCAAGGAGAACAGGGATTCCCATTCCTGCCCAGGTGTTCAGGAGACACGGGTCCATGACATCACAATATCAGCATGGCTTTTCCCAGCCACGCTCCACATGTCTGGTGCAAAGAGCTCCAGACAATCATCAGGACTTTCCACTGCTCACCAGCCATACCGAAACTCTAGACTGGCAATTTCAGCAATTCCACAACTTCCCTGACTCGTGGGCTTGTGAGTGCTGACACCAGAAAAAGCAGGGCATTATTGTGCTGCTGCCAAAACCAACACAGAAATTCCAGGGTGGTAAGATCACTCATGGCAAGCTTTGTGTGTAGAAAGAGCTGGAGTGCCACTGCCTGTTTGTGCTGCTGCTGCCCACTGTGGGACAGAGCCAGAAGCCCACAGAAATTCTCACTTGTGTGGTCCTGAGGAAAAATAAGGGGAAAGAACAAAGTTATTTCCACAGTCCTTAGAATATAGATGATGAGGAAAAACAAGTGGAAAGGGTAAAATGATTTCCACAGGTGTATTTCCATTATGGATTTAGACATCCAAATTCATTGGCTCAATTCAGCTGCCGAAACACATGCACACACTGCCATTTGAGTTGAACTGGGTTTTACAGTTTGGCCATGAGCTGCTGCTCCAGGGGCACACAGTTCTCTTTTTCTTACTGTGTTGTATCTGCCATGGCCATGGATGTTTTGTGTATTAAAAATCTACATGTGGGTAATGAAACAGAGCCCTAAATGTCCACAATGATGAGGGCTCCAGTGTTCAGTAGGAGCTCCCAGGCCTCCTTGACATCAAGGGCTTCCAGACCTTGTAAGCAAGCAATCCACCCACCTCAAATGGAAGCAGTTCAGCTGCCATGCACAGAACTGTAACCCACAGGCCAGTGAAAGTTAAAAAATTATACTTTAGATAGCAACAGCCAACACGTGGAGGCCACTGAGCTTAAGTGACTCTTTTCCTGCTCAGCCCTACCTGGTCTGAGACCACGCTGATAGAAATACAGAGAACAAAACCAGGACCATTATCCATCATGGAACAAATCACATTCATTATGTTAAACTGCTTCATCTCCCAAAGCTACCTCATGGAAATGGTCTCTCCCATTTGCAAACTCGGGACCTGCCTGGGACAGTAGAAATTGATGCAACAGGATGGTGCCACGGACTGTTCTAACAGTTTTATGGACTAGACAATGAAGAATGAGAACTCGACTTAATAATTGTCATGGGAAGAAGAGATGATTTGGCTGTGTAGCCACTGTTCACTGCTGAACACAAGTATCAGCAATAGCAGGATGAGAGTGAAACAGGCTGAAAAGAGCTGAAAGGGTCAGAAAAGCATAAGCAATGAGACAAACTAGTCTTCTACTCTCTTTCTTTCCACTCACCTCCTTTGACTAAGCAGACGATTGTCTGGGCAAGTGGATGGTTTTCTGGACAGGCCAAAATGCTCCAAAAAAGACTGAATTGTCATGATTCTGGCCAAAGGGTGTTGCTATTGCCCTATCAACCCTAGAAATGTAAAAAAGATCTCCAGATACACATTCAATTCACATAGAAATAGAAAAAAAATAGTGGGAACTGGTTTTATAGGGTTTTTAAACATGGGTCAATTTTCCTTGCAGAGGCATGGGAGAGTCTGAGAGGTTTCACAGCAGGGGACAGAACCTGACCAGTTTGCATCTTGGACAGTTGCTACACTGCCGAAGGCTGTGTCAACTATTGCAGTTGCTGGAGAGGCACAGCATCCTAGAGGAAACCTCCCAGTGTTTCACAGCACAAGGTCTTCCATATGATCAGAGGGACAGATACACCTACATTTACACAGACCAAACCAGAATACTATGAATAATAATTTTATTGTGGAATTGATTACAGCCAGCACAGACTACTCAGCATCTGGCTCATGACACTTCTCTGATATCTGGTCCTTGGATACCTGGCAACTCTGCCACACTCAGAATAAATCAGATTCATGGGTAACATTTGCCCCACTCTTGTACACAACACCCGGCATTTGCTCTGGCCACTGGTGGGGATCATGTCCTGCATGGGCTCTTGTTTTGACCCAGTTCAGAATTTTTTCTCTTTTTCTGGTCATATAGTGGATCATCTGACCATGCATCATAAATTATTAGATGCTTCCTATGCAGGAGAGACCACAACTATTTTTATTAATCTGTGCTCCCCTAGGACAGCACAACCATCTTCCTTTGTTTTTTCAAAATCACTGTCCAACTTAGCAAAAAACTGCCAACTCCTCTCCCTGTCACTACCCCAGGTGATATTTTACTGGTAGTGGAGGCTCTGAGACACCACTTTGCCTAAAAATCCCCTTGAAAAAAAAAAAAAAAAAAAAAAAAAAAAAAAGTAGGTTACTGCCTTTTGCAGGTTTTCATGTATAATAAAAAAGTTTTTTTTTCATTTCTTTCAATCTGCCAACATTCAGTAAAGACTTTTGACACGTGAAGATAGAAGGGAACTTAATTGCACACTTGATTCTGACACTTTCCTTTGTTAAAATGAAAGAACTTTTAAGATGAACTTTTTCAACAGGTAGAAAGTAGAGGTTGGAGGAAGGAGAGAAGAGCAGTGCTGACAGGGCCGACTGGGGATAGTGGGTTGTTTAGAAGCCAAAATGACTGACTGTTTTCAGTTGTTGAAAGGAACTGTTTTTCCTCTAAGGACCTGATTCATTAAAACTGTATGCTGCATTTACATACATTTCTGCTGAATACCTCTCTTTGCCTGAAAAGGCTGGGATGATGCTGTCTTTTCAAGCAGTCGGCATCAAGGTCCATGCAGATGATGAGCATTTGGAGAAATCAGGCTTGGATGGGGTCCAGCAGCACAGCAGGAAATTGGTTTCTGCATCTCTTCTTAGTCAAGAGAGAGCTATCCAAGATCTCTGTTCCCAGCTTGTATCACTGTCATAAAGTGAAGGGTAAAACCAGCTTAAGAACAGCTTAGCACAGTTTTCTGGCTTATAGCTCCACAGTGAAGGACCTTGTAAAGACCAACAAGCTGAGTTTACCACTTTTTCCATTATACCCATGTCCCAAAAGACAGGACATAAGGTGATAATGAAGAACCCAAACTTTATCTAGGACCAGGTGTGCAATGAGTCTCCTAAAAGGAATCACGGACCAACAGAAATGCTCTTTAGTATTAGAAACTGCCCCTAGGCACAGTGGTTGCATCTATGCTACCAAAGTAAACCACACACACTCCGAGTCATCAGATTGCTCTTGTCCAAGTTACTAAAATGTTAGAATGGCTCATTGAATTCTCCCAAATATCTTTTGGGCAAGTCCTGGGAGACAGCCCACAACAGGGTTTATTCTCAGGAAGCCACAGGACTTAGGAGACCAAAGGGGTATAACTTTATTGGTGTTATCAGATGGTGACAAATGGTCTGCAGGTGTGAGGGTGACCCTTGTCACTCTACACTTCACTGGGTGACACAGTTACCAGGCTACACGTGGTCACTGTGACCAGTACCAGGTTAATCCAACAAAGATGAGAGCTCCAGCTGAGTGTCCTGATCATCTGGAGGTGACCATGCCCTCCTGATCCCCCATTAATGCCTTTATTTCCAATACATGCAATGGAGAACTCATGCTAATTTGGACAGGTCCCCTTTCCTTTTTTCAATTAACTGAATCATAAACCAAGTGAATGTAAGTGATGTCTGTTCATTCATGGTCCAGATAATGATCTTCTGAGTACATGAGCTAAATGGAACTGTTTTGTTTTATTTTTTAAAAAGTTTGTTGGTAGAACATTCCTAGGCTAATTTACAAATAACAAGGCAACAGCACAAGAATAAAAGGCCTTATTGTTGGATATTTCCTATTGCTAGGTCCATATAGAGGACCTAGCAATATAGAGGAATATAAAGGAATTCCAGGGAATAAATTAAGTCTCCAGGTGCTGAGGCATCCTGAGAAGCCTCAGGGAAGACTGAGTGGAAGAGAAAAAACAGTGAGACCATGTATCCTTTACACAGAAGATGGGCTACAATGCTGGTGGGAGACCAGAGCAGACAGATCCTGAATTCTCACTGTGAGGGGTCCTTCCTTCACAACCCCTTTGTCCTAAGGGTCAGGAGTCACGAAGGCAAGTCCAAAATATCCAGGACATCAACTTGCAGAAAAAGCAGTGCCTACAATTTACAAAAGCCCATGTACCAGTATTGGTGTATTTACACAAACTAAATAATAGAGTAATTTACACATTTCAGGCATATTCTAATGCTGGTTCACCATTTCCTTTAACCATAAGCCTTGCTGCCAATGTAGGTGAGCTAAGCTAGACTTAACACTGCCAGAATGGGTCCTATTCAGGGATTTTAAAATCACATTCCAAAATGTTAACATTCATATGGTTTCACAGGGAAAATCTTCCTTTTCAAGAGATTCTGTATGTTGTTGGTTCTGAGAATTTGGGGCAGGTAAACCAGAGATGGATTTGTTTGTCTTTAATTTCTGTAACAACATTTCTGCCAAGCAATTCTGTTATGAATAAGATCACTTAGGACATGGTGGGAGTGTTTTGGGAATCAGCTTTATGGGAAAGATTACCAGACCTGTTTTATTGAAGGAGTTCCATTTTCCTTTTAGACAAATATGTAAAGAATTCCAGGACCTTCTAAGTCAAGACAGATCACCCCTTGGATCCTCCAGACCAACTCCAATATTAGACCTCGACATCCAGAGACATTTAACACATTTCAGGTATGATTTTGAAAGAGGAAACTAAAAATCCATACTTTTGATTTAGATTGCATATGATGTTTTAATGGTATTTGTTCCCTTACCTACAAGACATGCAAATAATTAATTAACATCCATAATCCCTGCTAGCTGTGCTTATTAAAAATGCAGGTTTGCCCAGCAATGTAGTTCAAGTTGTCTGCATTCAACCTGCTTCTAGGACCACAATCTGAGTTTGAATAAGGTATTTTCTGCATCTACTGGTCAAATCTCCCCATCTGGCCAGAAAGTCGTCTTACTTTAAACGTGAGCCAAATCACAGCTTGCAAGTGGATGGTCCAGAAGCATAGAAACAAATTCTGAACAAATATAAATTAATCAAAATAGAAATAACAGGATGAAGAGGTTGCATCCTTTCCAATTAAATAAATTGTTCCAAAAGGTCCTCCTTGCTACTGAGATAATTTGACAATGTCTTACCAGGATCATTTTATTAACTCTTTGGCTTCCAAAGCAGGCTGTCCTTCAAATACATTACCTACTAAAACAATTTTACTGCACTAATTTCTGAAAAACACACTGGAAAATCTGGAGAATTGAAAGCTGACTCACACTAAAAAGCCAGATTGATGATATATTTAGACTCAGTTCTTGAGCAATATTTAATGTACTGGTTTAAACAGGCTTGGAAGCTGTTTTGAAGACAAAGACCAATAGTACATGCATACCAAGTCCAAACTTCATTAGAATTTTATCCTAATTGTGTATAAAAGTGTATATATATTTTGGGGTCAAAAAGATTTATTAGCTCAGGAGTTGCTGTGCAATTTCACCTTTTTTGCTTTAGGTGATGTGTCAGATACAACCAGGAGTGATGTGGGATCTTCCAGAGGGCCACTCTGAAATAGTGGGGTCATCTAAGATATCTATCAAAGATAAGTTGGATGAAACATCCTGGAGGTGCTCCTGTCTTTGGTCAGACCACAGAGGACAATTCATGACTTGCTGAGGCTACAGATTATTAATTTTTTCCATCCACTAGCCAATATATGAAAAAAAATGTGAAGAACTGTCCCAGAGAGTTGTTTACAAACCATAATATTAAGCAAGTTTCATAGCCCTGTAAAGGTTTAGAATTGTGCTGTATGTTCTTTAGCACAACCAGCTGAGCCACTCTTCTTTCACTGGTTGGACAGACAACTTCCATGTCTCTATGTCCCAACATCTGTTAGTTATTAATGTTCTGATAGGTGCTGTGAGAAATAATTTTTAGTCTCTCAGACTTTGAGTGGAATCCCAAAAATACCCACCATCCCACTTCCTCCATACACCTGCTGAGGTGTGGAGAGGCAAGGGTAATTCTCCATCCACAAATGCACACATTCCCGACATTCCTGTTTATTCTTACACACACCTGTGTGCATCCTACCTGAGTAAGAGCACACCTGGACCTCCCCACTCCTTTCTCAAGCAGTGCTGTGCATGGGCACACACAGAGCACCCAGGTGTGTGTATGTTTTCCATAATACACCCAACTACATGTGCACATCAAGAGAAACATCCTTATTCGTGCAGAATGCTCATAGAGGGATTTTAATCAGCTACCTAAGTATGTGGAAAAAGAGATAATTCCCTATTGCATGTGCACAGAGGAAATGTGATATGAGGTGGCTAATCCCCAAGGATTCCTGTGTTTAGAGTAGAAATAGCAGTCAGGATAAAATGCTGAAGGCTTCAGCTACACAACTGTCAACTGGTACTGCTCCCATCCTTCCTTCTCTGATGCACATCAGTAGTTGGAGAGGAAAGCTTCTGCAGGCAGCTCTGGATCAGTCAGCGCTTTCTTTCATGTCTGCTGCAGAGCTTAAGTGTTGGACTGAAGATGGGCACCTGGAGGAGCACAGGCCTTGATCCTACTCAGGGTCTTCCCTGGCCTTAAATCAGAGTCTTCTCTGATTGTTCTCAGGGAATGATGAGTGCTCCCAGTCCCAGAGGTGGAGCTGAGACCATATTTCCTTTCCAGCTAGTGTAGAGATGCTGGGGTTGGATCAGCTTCCAACCTGGACTTCTGACTCTGCCCAGCTGCCTGTAGGAGCCTCCACTGCAGCCAGCTGTACATCTTCTGCATCAGTGTTCAGGAATCTCACCTGCATAGCTTGAGAAATCTGAATTAAACAGGTCTAACATAGATATCTACATCAGTATAACTAGAATTTTTCTCTAAATTCCATTGGCTGAACAGTCTGGTCTAGAACTCCATCAGAATGGGAGATTAGCTAACCAGTACACACTAGACACTGTGGGCAGCTAAACCTAATGTAGGCAAAAAAAATCATTATTCCCATCCCCTAAATCCACCAGTCTTTACAGTCAGATCATCTCAACACCTACTACCACCACTTGTCTTCTTGAGATTAAATATCATAGACTCATGGAGTGGTTTGGGTTGGATGGGACATTAAAGACTCTCTAGCTGCCCCATGGCAGGGAATTGGAACAAGATGAGATTTAAGGTCCCTTCCACCTCATGATGATGAAATCTTCAGAATCTTAATATGATGAAATCTTCAGAAATCTGAAGAGATTTTTTTTATGGTCATAAAAAAGAAGAATCACACAACTGTCTATTATTAAAATAATTTCTAAGATATTGAAAGACTTTTTGAAGAGCTATAGCATCAGACATCTACAGTAATTGGATGCAGCCTCTACTACATTGGGGTGAGGCAGATTTCTTTAGGAATAAATTCCCCTACAGCTGTTCAGTGTAGAGCTGTGTACTCCACTTTCTTGTGATGTTACCTGTTCTATGTTAGTTATTAAGACCAGGGTTCACATCCTGGCACAGGTCAGATAGAAGCAGTTTCTTCCCATTTCTCCTGTTTTAAATCTTCAGATTCACACTTCTCTCTGCAAATGCGTCCAGCCTGAAGTACAGGATAGTCCCCATGAAGGGATCAGAGGTGTTGGGTTTGCTCCAACTCCAAACTCAAATTTCACACAAAGCACAAAATGGGAAATCTTCAAAGGAGCTGCCAGTGAGCCTGAGAACTGCTGGATTTTGCACAACCTTATGCAAAAAATCAGAGGCTATTTTGCACCTCTGGTACACCCCTATTTGTGCAGCCACTGTGAACACTGAGGTGTTCATCTGACACAAATTCAAAAACTCAATGCTCCATGAGGAATGATTTTCCAATATTATTCAATCATGAACAGACAACTCAGACTCTTAAATTTACAGTAGGAAATATTGTGGACTACCTGAGCCAGGGTCATTTTATGTTTTTTTCATTCAACTTTTCTCCCCTTTCAATACATTTTAGAGGATCTTACTGCAGAGAAGTTACATTGATAACTTCACTTATCAGTGGGCTGTTGAAGTTATACTGATAACCTCAAATAATTTCAAATATATTGGTACTAGCAGATAAAAGTAGTGCCAGAGAAGAGGCATTGACCATTTGTACTTCTCTTCATCTGCAGAATTTCTGGGGTTTTTTTCTACCTGGTCTGACTAGCACTAGTCCAAAATATTCCTGGGCACAGTGGTACATATATATAACCAATAAAAGGGTAAATTTAGAAACCCTGGAAGCACCAGCCCTTATTACAAGCCAGTAAGGTGCTGCCTGTGTTATGAATTTAGATGTAGGGAAGTCCTGCCTTGCCAGGGCTGGATCCCAAATCTCATGGGCTAAGTGTTGGGGTAGCTCTGATATCCAAGCATTACATAAATCTGCATTCAGGAAGAGGTGATAGGTTGTAAGGCTGCCCAACCTGTCCTTCAACTTTTCTTTGAGCTGGAAAGGTTGGAAGAGACCTTAAAGATCACCTTGTTCCCACCTCTCTGACATGGGCAGTGACACCTTCCATCAGACCAGGCTGTTGAAAACTACACTCAACCTGGTCTTGCACACCTCGAACACAAATAATCCTGTGGGTTGGACCCAGCCTGAAAGTCATCACATGAGCTATCCTATCCCCAGTTTCTGAGGAAAAATTCATCATGGAGCCATGGAACAAACAAAAAAACCGTGGAAATATCAATTTCCATTACTAAGTGCTGAGACTTTTTGTCCAGACACAGGAGTGTCTCTTTATTGTCCCCTAAAGGCTGATTTGTGCAAAGCATTTTTGAATTTACTAAAAAAAGAGCAAAGTCAGCATATCAGTACCAGAAAAGAACCTGAAATTTTCTACAGCTTTAATGGGAGGAACCTGTTTTTCTCACCCTTTACTTTCAAAGTGGAGAGACCATAAGGATCAACAGGAGAGTAAAGAGTGAGAAGAGCAAGAGTAAAGGAAAGAGAAGCAAAAATGTAAGAAAAAAATAAAGTACTTGCATAAAAGTTAGTTTCTTTTAAAATACCTTCTATTACTTAAAATTCAGAGGGTTTTCCCCCAGAATCCCACAGAATCATGTGAGGCTTCTGTGTACATGTGCATGCACCTGAGTCTGGAAGGGGAAAATCTGGGAAGTTAATTTCTCATGAAACTTAATCCAGTTTCAAATCCTACAGGTGTCAGTACAGCAGAGGCTTAATCTCTGGGGTTTTTTTAGGTCCTTTCAGGTAATATAAATCTTTCTTTAGCATTGTAAGATTGTAACATTTAGAGATAGCAAAAGGATAGATGTAAGCAAAACATATGTAAAACACTGAGAATAATTCACTTTAGAAAAGCCCAGAAATAGTAAACCAGGGCAATCATGACCTGCAGCAGGTGAAGACAAGTCTGCCTGGAGACACAAGAGTTCTGACATACACACCTAGAGGTTTTATGGCACAAGTATGTGTGAGGGGAGGTGGTAAAGGGTTGGATAGCCCCCAATAATATAATTCTGCCTCTAAACCAGCAGAGCTGAATGGTGACATTGCAATAAACAGGTTCTTCTGCTGGATCTGGAACAATGTTAGTCAACAGAACCATCAAATCCCATTCTTTTCCTGTTAGGGTTGTACAGGTAGATCTGAGGCATGTCAGTATGGGAAATATCCGTAATTCTGGTATTTTTGCAC